AGCATGCAATATTATAACTATTCTGTGAGAGGATTGCTATACGAATGAGTCAGATTGAAGGTATTCCTAAGACTCCCATTTCAGGAAGCATACTGGATGGGCAGTAGCTTCGGAAACTACCTTTTATTTATCCTTATTCTGTAAAAAGGCTGCCACGTGCCTCTTTTTGAGTGGCTTTTAAGTTATCACATCCTGCCAAAATAGAAACGCAGACAATAAACGGAAGGAGCCCTGATRTTTCAGGCTCCAGTCTGCTTATTTTTAACTCTCACTCCTATACACTACTTCGAACACATCTCTTCCACTCTCAAATGAACTCTCTTGATTTTAAGGGCATATGATCACCCTGATGGCGAACCTCTGCAAAAACTGGAATATTCCCAAGCTTTTCCCTTCTTTAGTCTTCTGAGTGACTTTCTTGCATCCTTTAYGACTTCTCTAAAACTGAGTTGGTTTTAAATTCTCATATTCTGGAATTCCTAATATCTATGACTCTTTGTTAAAATACTCTGCTTTAGCCCAATTTTGCCTATTTGTCATTGATCCTGTATCATCCTCAATAGTTATCTTTTGGCCTTCTGTGCAGTAAAAATGTTGAAGAATTTGAAGAGCTAGCGAGCTTTGGGTTTTGCCTTGGTGTCCCTAAGAGATGCAGCCCTATCTCTCTGCTGGGGCACACGCAGAAGAAAACACCCAGGGAAACCCTTGGCTCCTCTCAGGCAGAGCTGTGCAGCACTTTCCTGCAGGTTCACAAAAAAAAGTAATTATGGCAATTTGTAAGATACACCTAGAAGAAGTAGAGAGGAATAAGCACTTTTTGTGGATCAATTTGGCCACTTTCCCACTTGGATAGATCCCGGGGGATCTGCAGAGCTCTCGGACTCTCATTACAGAGTAAAAAGTTGAAGTTTTTGCACATCCTGTAAGTCTGTCTGTTCAGCGCTGTGTTTCCTGCCAGCAATACGGAGATCTCGGAGAGATCAGGAGGCAGCTGCAGAACCAGAACAGAAGATGTGGCCATGTCCATCATCTGGGCTGGTAGTACAGTTTACTTTCTCAAYGTTAGAATTATTTAGTTTAGTCACATCTAAAATCCTGCAGACCTTGCATTTTATTCTGTGTGGAAGGAAAGTGGAGGCAAAAGGTGATTTGGGAGGGTGGAGARAAGCAGGAGGGGAGAGCAGCTCCCSRGAGGATCATCTCGATGGTTATTCCTGCCCCACTTCTTCCTGATGCTTTGGATATACAGCAAGGGCAGGGGGATCTGGCTCCCGTTCAAAGCCCATTAGCAATGATGGATTTTTCATGTGTTTGTTTACACTGAAAAGTTCAAATACTGTCCAGCTCTGCCTCTAAAATTATGATCAGAGAGGGAATGTGGAAGTGATTTGGGTGTTCCTAATTAATCTTCATGCAGCATTCATTAGGTTAACTCAAGTCCTCCAGCACAGAGTGTCCCAACAAGCAAACCCAACGTGCAGATCCCACTCCTGGACGTGTCAGGGAAACAAAACAGAGACACCCGAGTGGYGGGTTTAATTCCAGTGACCGCAGAGCGAGCTGGGTGTCTGTCCTCCTCAGGGCTTTCTAAATCCAACCTCMCGTTTCAGGCTCCTGTGCTCCTGGGTGTAGAGCCGCTTGGCATTGGCTCGAGGTTACGTCAGCGTGGGGAGCAGCTGGAGGTGGCCCCCAGGTTTCCCAGGCTTCGGCACTCGTTTTTCTTTCCCCTCGTGTGTGTAGCTGGTTAAAAGAGCAGTCAGCCTTTCCAGCCTGCTGCTGCGGAGGAAAACTAAGGAATAGGGAATGAAAACTTTACAAAATATCCCTGATTTTCTGTTGTTAAGATTATCCTTTCAAGTCGATTATTAAACAGCCCAAACACTGAGCAATTATGCCAGGCTATTTTTTTTTCCTTTATTTTTTCCCTGTCCACACCCAGAGAGCTTATATCTAGCCACTTGCCTCATCTTCTGGCCCCTCGCTTTCACTCTGGGTGACAAAAGAGAGTAATGGATATTAGAGCTTCAAATGCTAATGGCTGGCAGATGGGGTATATCTTTTAATCCTGAAGTATATATTGGAGATGCAGTATAAGCCATCAATTTCCTAATCTCCRTCATGGTTAAAAGCCAGTTAAAAGCTTGCCAATACAGTCCTAATAAACATCTGAGTAACCAGTAGTTCTCTTAAAMTATTATTATAATTCTAACCTGCACAATATACTCTGGAGATGCAAGAGGTGGTCTGCAGATATTAAAAATTAATCAGTAAGTTTGCAATGCGCTTAGAAATAAGCAATTCCTCAGTAATTATTTATATAAGTCAAACATCTTAGCCATATAAAAATTTAACATTGTTTTTCGATGTTAAAAGTGGAGGGATAGCATTCATATGGCCCATGTGTTGCTWTAGACTTGCAAATCCTTTAACGATTGCTTGACTTTTAAAACATGGGAAAAATTTCTGTTCTTAGTTCCCAAGTGCAGTGAGACACTTGGGGGTTTCAGGTTAAGCATGCACCTGTATGTACTCTATATTTTTTTACTTATCATTGCTTGTTTGCAGTGATTATTCCAAGMAAAGTGCCTCTTTATGCCCTAAACTCTACCAGATATATGAAGAGCTCCTATGTTCTTTCATGTTTTCTCATTTGCCCATGATTTATTTTTAATTGCTTTTTCAAATATAACTCTAAAGTCATATAGAGTTATATTTTTTCTTTGATAAAATGAAACAAGCCACAGATTACAGACAAAAGAGAGAAATGGGATCAATGGGTTTGTCTGAAAATGCATGTTCCATACAGGTAACTACTGACCACTAATACAGTGTCATGAAGATAGGGTTTTACTAAGAGGGCAATTATCATCCACCTGGGGTGTGATTTTCCCTGTATTGTCATTCCCTCTAAAAGGAGTGGAAGATAATGGGGCTAGGTGTGACCTAAAGAGGTTGCCTATTCCATCCTTCTGCCTTAAAGCGGGATCAACTGTGCTTAAGTCACTGCTGGCAGATGCTTGTCTAATGTCTAGTAGAGACCTGCAGACAGCAAAACAAGATTATGAACAATGATGAAGAAGATGTAGGGTACCTTCCTTGTATAGTTTTCTTCCTTACCTCTATCAGAAGGAGAAATGTAAATTGAGATATCCTCAAAGTGTCTCAAATTTATTTTTTTAAGTATAATTTGAAATATAGCCTTCCATTTCTAYGTTGTAGCTCAGAATAAAGAATCGAGGCAGGATGAACTAAAGTAGTAGAAGATGAACATGTATTGCTTCAGTGTAGAAGTGATAGTTTGACATTGCAGCATTTGCCAGCACTGTCACTTTAATTCTGTTCAGTGAATGTATGTTAATTGAGAAAAAAAGCCCTGATTTTTTCTCGTGTTCTTTTCCCGAATAAAATGAACAGTGTTCATTGTATCAAACACTAGAATTACATATTAAAAAAACCCTTATATCCACACCAGGATTATAAACGATGCTACATTTGTTGATTCATAGCGATGAACAGTTCATTCACAGGATTGTCCTCTCTTCTTAACTCTGCTGCATTAGTCAATATTTTACTAACATGCATCTTTAACCATTGTTATTATCATGGCAATAGACAATACAGGTTTTAGCACGTGTATTCTAGAAAACATGACCACTTCAGACTTTTTTGGAGCTCCTCTGTGCTAGACAGCTACACGTACAAATCTAGTGTGACAAAAGTTATGCTTGTAAAGGTCTTGGAGAACAGTCATTCTTACTTCTACAGTTATATCCACTTCTTTAAACATACAGTGTTGTTAAGGTTAGAGAGCTTTTCTTCTTCTCCCTCTGGTTCTCCCCTGTTCTTTATATGAATGCTGCATCTCTGACAGCCTTCTATGAGGCTGAAGAGTCTTGGACCCACAACTGTTTATGAACAATTTACTTATCAAGAAGGTGAACCTGAAAAATAAAAAAAAATCACTAAAAAAAAGCAAAAATTCACTCCCAATTTTTTATCTCCTCTCCAGTTCAATTCTCTGGTTTCTGTCTCCCCTCTTCTAATCAAGCTTCTCTGAGCACAGAATTAATGTCAAGTGATAAAGTTTGTTCCTTCACGAGGGAAAGCCTCCTGGCATCCCCTGGTTGTTCATACCTCGTTCTTTGCCCTGTTGCCAGTGATCAACAGATACCAAACATTGCGTTGCCWTCGGTGTTGTTCAGAGCATCAGCAAACTGTGTATGCAGAAGGATTCTGTGGGCTAGAAAATAATTCTTCTGGGCAAAACTCTATTTGCAAGTTGAAATAAAATGTATTAATGCTATAAATCTGATAAACTGATATTTACTCTCACTGAACTTGGTTAAACTTCCCATTCCTCTACCATATCTTAACTTTAAGGGGTGGGAAAGAAAGATGGTACAAACAATCACACCTTCCATGCCCTAAAATCAACCAGTGCAATAAAATGACTTCACAGGGTGGTGTTTTTTTATGGTATAGCAATGTAGTTCTGTGGGGCAGACCTTTGCCCTTATGAACCAACTGGGCTGAGTAGTAGCAGAAAACATTTGACAGATGGGCCCTTCTTAATCTTCTACTACACCATAAAGGTATAGTCATAGAATAGGAGTGATTAGAAATCACAAAGCCTTCAGTTTTCTACAACGTAGACCTGCTGAAGGAGAAATGAAAAACGTTTCTTGAGGTGCTTGAGGTTTTTTCCAGTATTTCCATCTCTGTCCCTGTTAGCCTTTGGTGGGGGAAGCTGGGGAACACCCTTCTAATTCAGAGAGCCTTGGAGCAGTTAAAACACACACCAGGAGTACGGTAGCTGGCAGGCAGGACTGAGGACACGTTTTTCAGTGCAATGAGCCTTTGAACTACTGTAGCGTGTGTCTGATGGTTTGGCTCCTGGAAACAAACCAGCAGCTTCTCAATGCATGTGCTGTATGGCTTCAAAACCTCAGCAACACAAACCGTTTTTATTCTTTTCTTCATTTTACTTTTTTTTAACTGACATGATACAAATAAACATTTCCGTTGTTGGCAGCAGCAATAACGAAGACCTCAGTAGCTACAGTGCTGAAGATTTATCTGATCCCAGTTCAAGCGTGGTATCTTCAGAGGTGCCAGGACAAGGCGATGTCTTGCAAGAACATGGGGAACAAAGTGGCTCCAGCTCCTTAACTCGGGCTGCAGAAGCGAGTGGGAAAGATGTGCCCAGCCCAGGGCCTGTAGCAGCCCAGGAACCCACAGCAGATCTCACGAGCAGCAAAGACAAGTTACCAACCTCAGACTGCAACGGAACGGTCCCATCACCAGACCCAGAGCATGACAAAGCAGAAGGAGCAGCACATACTATATCCATGGACAGCAGCCCAAAATGTGACATTCCTGCTGCTGCTTCTATGAAAAATAGGGAGAGCGATCCCAGAAACACCAGCTTGGAAGCCAGCCCTCCTGCAGCAATTACGGAAACGCAAGGAGCTGCACAAATGACTTTGAGTGAATTAGAGGCTTTCTGGCAGGGCGAACAGCAGGACGGCACGAGGGAGCCACACGTCATCACGTTTCCCCAGGGAGAAGAGGCAGATGATTTTACCGCTCAGGAGGCCAGGCGGGAGCTGGGAGTTTGGGAAGTAGGTCACCCCCAGCGCGAGAGGCAGCTAGGTAGACGGGACACAGATGGCAGAGAGGCAGCGCTAATGAAAAAGGAAACCTTAATCCTCAACGATCTGGCAACAGGAGGCTCAGAGGGTGAAAAATGTGGAGCAATTGTGGGCACTCAGAGTTTTGTTGAGAGATCCGAGAGCGGTGAAGGCTCTAATCTACAGATGGGTGCTGTAACTGCGGCTAAAGAGAGTAAGGCAAACCCAGTTCTATTTGGAAACACGGGAGAGCAATCAGAAGCCTGGGCTTTAGTGTCAGAGTTGCCTTTTAACTCTCCAAATCTCTTCCTGACACCAAAGCCAGAAGAACCTTCGAGGGAATACACGCCTGGAAATGACTATCAAGATCCAATGATAAGGGAATCTGTGAAAACAGCCTCTGAAAAAATACAACCTACTTTTCAAAAAGAACTTCAAAAGGAAGATGAGCTTGTTAGCGCCGAGCATTTCAGTCTGCCTGTATTATTTAAGCAGCAAGAGCAAAAATCAGCTGTCACAACTGAGAGCCCAGAAGATCAAGCCAGTAGCAACAAAATCATAAGAGCTGAGGATGTGTCTAGAGGAAACACTGCACTTTCTGAAGCAGAAAGTATTATCAATCCCGTGAACGAAAATTCGCTGGTAGATAAGAGATTGCTGAAAAAACATGCATTAAGTACTTCTTGGAGCAGCTCCACAGAGCTGAATCAAAAGGAAAGTGATACGAGTGAAACAGGAGGAAAAAACAAAATTCTGACAGAGGAGGTACAGGCGACAGAAACCAGTGGAGCACCTGAAGGGTCAACTGAGATAGAAAGAGCGCTATTGAACTCTGGTAGTAGCCATAGCCAGGCTATAGAAGATACCCACTTGGGACACAATTCCAAAGAGTTCAGTTTTTTTGAAAAGGCTCAAAAAGGTGACCAAAAGGAGGAAGCTATGGGTAAGCACCTGACTTCAGACTGCAACTTTAAACCACCTGAAGACAATTCACGTTCTCCTTGTTGTGGACCTGAAAGTCAAGTGACTGAAGAGAAAACAGCTGCCACAAATGCCCTGGAGAGCAGGAGCAGCTTTCCCCTTGCAGCTCCACTGCAGTTATACAGGGAAGAAGCCCTGTTGAGTTTTGCTTGCTTTAATATGGAGGCAGAAGACAAAAATTCAGCTTTGCCAGGCTCTAATGGGGCTGAAAAGGTTTGTTTAGCTGGTGAGCACAGTCCAGTGCTCCTGCACTCTGAGATCAATGATATTACATACAGAGAGCAGGCTGGACCCTGGGAACTGGCTTCTGCTAAAGAAATTATGTTGGAGTCCCAAAGCCAAAGYGAGTGTCAAGAAAAGCCAGAGAGCTCTAGCAAGTTGGAAGAAAGTGCAGAAATATCCAAAACAAACCTTGAGCTTCAGGGCCTGAATGAATCTGCAGGGACTACGGGATGCATTGCTGTACAAGCTGAGGAGGCCACGCGGTTTGGGGACAACAACGAGCTGAAAGGCTGCTTACATGAAAAGCCTTGTGGAGATGCAGAGCAAGAGCCTGCAGCCATACCTGAGCAAAGCACTGCTGGGAATGGTGAGGAAAACAAGGGTATCGTGCAGCAGGAGCACCAAAACGCAGGGAAAAGTCTTACAGAAGAAAAACTTCTGGCACTGAAAGCTGAATGCGAATCTGATGTGTTGATGCAAGCTCAGCAGGAGGGAACGGCTGCAGAAAGTCACAGCAATTCACAGATGGCTTGTTCAGAAACCTCAGAAATTGTAGTAAATCCTGCAGGGTTCRCTCCTTCACAAATTTACCTGGAAGAAGCGGGTGGAAGCAGCGTCGGTGAAAATAACTCCCCTTCTGAGGAAGACAAGCGTGGGTCTTGTGAGACCCTCGTATGCAGCATCMGGGAATTGCAAGAAAATGCAGATGTTCCACCTGCCCTTCCACACATCGAGCAACTGGAGAACTCTGTGTTTGMCACTGGGGAAAGTGGTTGGATTTCAAAGGCAGGACTCGAACAGAAACCCCAAAGCAATCTGGAACCTGTCACAGGAACAGCCCATCAGGAGCACAAAGCAAAGGCTCCAAAACCTGAGCAGTTCCTGGGATCAAATGACAACAGCAACGTACCAGARAGGGCTCTCAGTATTTCAAACAACCTTAATGAAGAATCTCCTGTGGGAGATCCAGCGCTGTTCCAATGCGATGCCGACTCCCCAGAAAAACAGGGCAAAGATGAAAGTAGGGATAAAATATCAGTGGACACGTGCAGCAATGAACACCTGCAAAATGTTTCTGGTGTGGCCATGCCAGACTTGCAAGATGGCAACCATCAAAACAAAACTGATCTCAAGGCAGAAGAAAACTGCCTCCATAAGCAAGGCTCAGACAAGCCCAAGCAGGATAATAACACTTTGATCTCAGCTACTCCGCACGAAGAAGCATGTCACAGTGAGATAATTTTTGAAGAATCCACCAGGAATGAACAGCCAGTCAGCACATGCAGGACTGAAGGCAACGCTGAGGAAAGCGGTGCTGCTGCTGCAGACTCTCTTCCAGGGAYGCAGGACTCAGTAAGTGACACTTACATATCACAGGCTTTCCCAACCGATCGTGAAGTACCACGGACTTACGATAGTTCTGAGAAAAATGACCCTCAAGCACCTATTCCAGAAACTCGAGAGAAAATACCATTAATGGCAAAAACTTTGGACACAGAGAAGATAGAGGCTGTGACTGCTGATGTGGGAATCGTCCAGAAAGATGAAAATGTGAAGATAAATGGGGAGGAAAATGCTTCTGCCACAGAACCAAGCAATATGAAAACGGGTACAAGCCCAGGAGCAGAAGAGTGTCCTTCGCCTTTACAGGCACCCGGGGAAGTAATTCCCACCGATAACTCACATAAACCCAGCTGCATTCAAGAGAAACCGGAGGAGCCTGATTATTGTCAAGCGGATTTTACAGCTCTTTGTCCACTGACCTCTGCATTCAATCATCCAAACCAGCARCCTGGAAGCAGCAAGGACACTGGTACTGCAGGGGAATTACTAARTCATGAGCTGGCACTAGGAGCAAGCCCAACCACCGTGCAAGGTGCCTCCGCTTTGCAGACTGCTTCAGGTCCCCAGGTGTCTGTGCACTTAGGTGCTTCAGCTGAGTTAAGCACCGGTAAAATAATAAATTCAGAAAACAGCTCTGCAGGGAATACGTATGTGAACATGAAAGACTTTCCAGACCAAAGTTTTCTGGCTGGAGGAGAGAAAAGTTTAACCCTGCCAGAAACTACAGGCRGCTTATCACAGCTCAGTTTTGAGCAGCTGAAGGAAGAGGTAGCTGCAATTAAATCCAAAGAAAGAAAAAGTGATGTCGGCTTCAAAGAGGAGCGAAGTGACRGTTCATCAGAGCCTCTGTTAGCGCTCCCTCCTCCAGAGGAGAGGCTGCTGAGCCTTTCATCTGTTGGTAAACAAGAAGGCTCTAATGAGGAAGTCGCAGCCAATATCTGTCTAGATGACAAGTGCAGTAACATCTCGGAGAAACCTGGGAATTCAGATAAAATGGAAGATGTTTTAAAGGAGAATAGCATTTCTCTGCACTCTGCAGAGAACTTGGGAAGGGAGCATGAGCTCTTGACTTGCAGCTCCCTGGGCATCGGCTCTGGCCTCCCAGATTTCAGGGAGCACATCAGYCAGATATTTAAAAAAACTGTCCACAGCACATTGAGTGCTGAATTACCCCATCTTTTACCTGAAAATCATGCAAGCCTCAAGCAGGATCCAGTGGCCAAGGATGTGGCAGAACTGTGTGGTATGGAGAACAATTTGCCATCAAACAGGSTGGGCAAAGCAATTTCAGAGAGCCCCTCAGAGCCACCTACAACCACGGAGACTTCCTGCGGACCTCCCCAGGATATATTTCTACATGAAAACACGATGCCAGAGCTGCCACGAGCAAGTCCAGAGGATACTGAGAAAAACAGGCAGCCAGGTAGCCCTTCAGAAATGCTCCTCACCCTGGATAGCTCTGCAACTGCTGAATGTCCTTCGGAAGACCTGCAAAATCTGGAGAAAAACGCAAAGCATCTYGAGACTGTTGAGGTGGGAGAAAAGGAAGGCATGGGTGCTAGTGATGCTGATCCTGAATCACTAATAAGCTTGGAGATACAAAAGCAAGGATCTGCTTCATCTGATGGGGCAGCACCTGAGAACTTTGCTGCGTATCCTGCCAGTGAGCAGCAACCCGCCGTCACGAGCGTCTCTACAGGTGGTGTTCAGGAGAGGGACTTAGAGGCTGCTACCACGCAGGAAAATCATTTAATTACGCAGCATAATGCAGAAACAGTTACATGCGAAGATGATGTGAGTCTTCATAGCGAACAGCGCCAGGATCCCAAGCCTAATGAGCAGGAGAGAAGTGGGCACAGTGATCCAGGCACTGCCAAGAGCATCTCGGACATGGCATCTCCCACACTTGCTCCAGGAGGATTTTACAGTCATGAGAAACCGCCAGATAATTTCAACGTGGTATGTGAGGAAGATCAGAAGACAAGTATTCACAGCAGTCCTGTGCATGAGATTAAGTCTCCGAATGACACGCATACGATACAAGATGATTCAGTAAATAGGAAATCCCTGGAAACATCAGAAAATGTACAGGATTCACAGCAAGAAACCAAAGTTAYCATGCATGGGTTAATAAATTACTTGAAATACGAAGTAAGCCGGGATGATTCCTTGCAAACTGACTCAAAACTGGAATCTAGCAGTATGACTGAGGGAGACGTGAAAGAAAAGAGCRACGCGGTGTTAAGCACAACAGAGGCAGGTAACAAAAATCCCGAAGACATCCCTAAAACAGGTCCTGCAGGGATGTTGGTCGCTGGCGAAGGCGACTTAGCTTTAAACACGGGCACTGGAGAACAAGAGATGGACCCACACAAAGGTGACTCTCAGAGCGTCCCTGTGGTGGAGCAGGGAGAGGGTTCTGCACGTGCGGATTTGGCTGTTGTTCCTGAGGATCAGCCGAGCAAGACGAATTCCGAACGAGAGCGCTCGCCTCGGGATGACAAAAAAAAGCCACCGGCGCCTGCATTTCCCGAGTCCGAGGAACGTGACCTCCATGAACCTCGAGACGTGGCCGTGGCAGGATTACCAACTGAAAGGTATTTCCTTTAAATTAATACGTGGAATGGTTGTCAGGACCTCGGGGGTGGATAGGGCTATAATTTTCAAAGCAGAAGCTCGCTGTTTGGGAGGGCACGGCACTTAGTGTGTTCTCCCGTTTCTATTGCATTTCTGTTGCTTTTAATTGTGAACTAAGCAGAAGAAACTTGAAATAATGTGCAAGGACTAAATATAAACAGAAGTGGTGCTCAACAACCTCAGGAGAATAATTCTCAACTATTCCATTTACTGCTTGAAATTCCTATATTTACCTATGATGAGTCACTTGTGGAACCCTGTGTTCACTTCTTGTAGCCTAAGTTGTGGCAAACAAATAACACTTTTTAGCCTTGCATTAGTAGCATTTTGCTTAAGTTTTCGTGACCCAGTTAATTTAGACCTGCGGAATTCACATGGTGCTTTGCAATATTAAGGAAAAAAAACACTGGTAGCTGTCTAGGCTTCCCTCTTATCCTCTCACGTATTATAATCGCATTGACAGTCCCTTTGATCAATGTATTATTCAGCGTTTCTAATGACATGAAGTTGTTTCAGATGTGAGTTGTTGTTAGGATCTGTGGAGCCCAGGAATTCTTTATTTTCAAAATGTAGCAGTAAGTGCTTTAATTATATCCATCCTACATTTTTTTCTTGTGAGTTTGTACACAGATGAAATACCAGTTTTATACGAAGTTATTTCCAAAGAAAAATGACCTTAAATCAGTTTTCTCACGCTATCTAATCATATCGCTGCTCCTTCTGTAACYTCTGCAACTTTCCCCAACCCTGTCCCTGAGAAGGCTGTAACTGCAAATACAAGAGACAACAGCAAAATAGTAGTCTAGTGAAAAGCTTAAAAATTTCAGATGGCACTAATCAATGATCAGGCAGTAGATACAGGCAGAATCTTCCTAGGTGATACCAACAACCTATATGCTGTTAATGCAGGCGAGGGAAAAGGTTGCAGGGCCATATTCTTTAAAACTTGAAATGATAAAATCATCCTGTAAGTGGAAAATTCCTGAAGGGTTTCTGTTATGGTGAAAATGGAAAGGAATTCCTTCTATTCTGTGGTCAAAATGTGGAGGAATTCCTTCTCTTCCTTCTGAAGAAACTGAATACAATCTTTTTTTATGAGCAAAATGTGCACTATAAGCACAATAGAGTGTTGGAAATCTTCACAGCTACGGTACTCTCTCTTTATGGACCTATATATAAAAAGATAATGARGTTAATCCCTAATATTTACTTCTGGTTCCTTTCTTTTTCCTTCCGTTTACATGGTGGAAAGCTTCACACTTGGGTAGCCTTGAAATTAAGAAGCAAATTGTTGGCATTGGCTGGTTCAGAARCCCCAAGGGACGCTGGCATAGCACATACACACCCATCTACGCATGTGTTTCATATCAGGGTGGGTATCATACTTTAAATAAATACCTGTGGCAAACAGAGGGGGCAGGGCTCTTGAAGCAGCTGCTGGCAATTTGTGAAGTGGTTGCTTAATGCTTGCACAAGCTTAAAGAATTCATTATCACCTGTTTTTCCAGCATGAGGGTTTGTATCAACAGGCAGCTGCTACTTTTGGACCACAGCTGTAAGGGGGGTCATGCACATACCAAGGGGGCATACGTATGAAATTGCAGCCTTGGAGACCTGGAAGCTGGGGACTCGCAGAGGTAGGGAGGAGTCTCTGCCTTTGGTGAGGCTTGTTTCTTAACAGCAATACGCAATTTAGCTTATAAAGAGGTGGAAGGTGTGAGTTAGGTCTGTCTKCAGCTGGTTTAACACTGCCCAGGCTGCTTTTTCTGCAGTTACCTGCACTGTTTTGCAAGCAGATGGGGCTTAGAGCCCATTTTTCCTTTGAGCTTGTGGTGGGTAGTTAAATTTCAAGCTATAATCCGTATACTGTGTGCTTGGTCATGGTGGTTTTTTTGCCTCAGAGTGGATTCTAGTTGTTTATTGTCCTGAAATCCTACAAAACATAAACTTTAATAGCTGTGTGAAAGAGTGCACCCTTCTAAAAGTTGAGTTTGGGCTTCATGAAAAGATCTCTATGGTCAAAGAATCCTTTCCTCTCCCTTTTCCACCTCTGAACCTTCTCCCCAAAAACCCCAAACTGCCTGTTTGCATCATGGGCCGTGGCAGTTCTTCAGCGGTATGTGGAACAGGTCAGGAAATTACAGCAAAATCTTGTGTTGTTTAGAAATTATGTGCACTGGTGTGCTGACTGGTATGCGCAAAATAAGATCACTTCTTGGAAGGGGGAAAAGAAAAATGCCCAGGGAGCTTTTAAAGGTGAAGACAAGGATGTCATTCCCAGATGTGCATCTTGATGTGCTGAGCACAAATTGCCTCGTTTGCAGTTTTCTTGGCTTGGCARAGCTCCCGTCTTGTTAGTAAACCTTCAGGTGCTTCAGAGCTGTGGAGAGCCCTTGCAGACCTTGGCTTGGCCCAGGGCGTGTTAGTAAGAGCAGAGTATGGGAAGCCATACGCACGCTGTAAGCGCTGACACTTGTTTTGCCAACGAGGTCAGGCTGCCCTTGGCACCCGCGCRGCAAAACTGGTTTTTCCTCCTTCACAAGGAGACCGTGCTGCACTCAGCAGCATCTCTGGAGGCTTCAGGGCCTCAAGTTCAGCAGGGCACTGAGCAGCTCTGGTGTCCCCAGAGCTTCTGCTGCCAACTGCAAATTGCACGGACCTCTGGAGCCTGCGTCGTTGGGGCAAACGCATTCCAGCTGAGATGTGCCCCTTGTGGGTCCATTGACGTGGCAGGAAGCCCAGAGGCACCTCRAGATCTTCTTTATGTTTGTTCTTACCATCAAGAATTTGCAAGTTCAGTATTCTGAAAAGAAGGAAGACTCCTCAGTAAATACTGCCTCAATGTTTYTGGTCTGCCTAACACACTAGTAAATATCCTGACAGTCTTGCTGCAGCAAGTACAGAAGAGAGAGCTGCTTTTTGGGTCAGTCRAGTGGGTTTTGAGTACTGAAATTTTCTGTCATTATTGCTTGAAAACAAATTTTTGGAGCTGAAATGGAGTTATCAAACCTGTGATTATGCGCTTTTCTTTCTTTCAATTTCATGATTTTTTAACTTCAGAWTTAGCAAACTTGTCTTCAAACTGCCCAGTATCTAAGGATCACAAAACAAAGGGCAAATTAGCCCTTAGCATTTAGAAAGTGATTTACATGTTAATTAAATGCACAGAATTTGCATTGCAAGTTATTTGTCTCTCTCCTGCCTTTCTTGGTGACATCTCTGCWTCTGAGTTTTCAGACATGCAAGAAGCACAGCCCACGGTCCTAACTAAATAAACTGGCCAGTGAGTTCTTTAAAAGTTTGGTCTGGGTGAAGACTGCAGGATGGGGCCTACAATATTTATGAGATTTTCCTATTCATGGAAAAGGAAAACTAGGGTAATTCCCTTTTACTTGACAGAGGTCTTATTTTGCTTTATTAGAAACCAAAGGGAGTTTGGGAAGTTTTGCCATTGACCTAACATTCTGCTGTTTTAGGCAAGGGCTAGGTCAGTGTAAAAGTAWTTATAAAATGCTGGTTTAGTACTATGCCCTGTTGTGTTGCCATCTACTCGGAGAACATACCAGTGGAAAACTAGGTGTCAGGCTGGGTTTCTTACATATATACATATGAGTGAATATATATAATCTATATTTGCCTTTGCTACACAAAAACAGAGAAGTCGGTCATAATCTCTGCTGCTGCAGAATTGCAGGTGTGTCTTGCTCTATGGAAAATATATCCAACAGCATTCTTGAGAACCTAAGGCATATGTTTTCAAGGTAGGTATGGATGTAGGTTGATGATAGAGGAGCTGCCCTTTTGCAAATATCCTGTTGCGTTTCTGAAGAAATTACATTTGCTCAATTAAATATAGGCATTTATTACAGAAATTGAGTAAAACTTTTTCCAGTGTCTAGGCAGGTAATTAGCACCGATTTTTGCCTTCTCATTAGACTAAAATTACTTTCAGATTACTTTTGCTGGTGAGTTTTCACCAGATGCATTTTTCAACTTGGCTTCTTCCAAATAAGCTGCTTATTCTCCCCAGATTATATTTGCAAGTCTTCCTTTATACCCCTATGTTTTCCGTATTCCAACTTTATCTTCAGGTTACTTGCAAAATTGGATATTGCGGAGCTAGTTCCACTCTTCCTCTTTCTCATAGAATATGTAAAGTAGGATTAGTCCCAGCTTTGAACCCTGTGGAGGGCAGCTCTAAGAACAGCAATTACAGACACAGTCGTGCTCCATGGCTTGGATGTGGCTTCCTTCCAGTATTTCTGCCTCTTGGCATGCTTGTTGTGCTTCTCGACAGACTCTGGAGAMAATCTGGAGAACTAAAACCTGTAATAATTGCCTCTTCCTTTCCTTTTAGCTGATGCTTGTCTGCTTTATAGGCTAACACTCAAAATGCCTATGGATGTGCACAATAGTAGCAGTTTAAGAGGGTAAATAAATAAAGCAGGGTGCCTACTTCTGCCTTGGATTGTCTGTAGTCATTGCAAATTTAAATGTACGTTATAGTCAGTATGAGATGGTTAATGCCAACGTGGTTATAGCCCRTCTTATTTATCTTGTTCTAGATATGTGGAAGTCCAACTGTGTATCACTAGTGGCAGGAGAGGCTTATTTATATTTAGCTGTGCCCCAATATTTGTGTTCCGTGGAATGCAGRAAAACTCCTGTGTGGATCTATTTGYGGTCAGAACATTTACAGGTTAATTCTTGAAGAGCTTCTTAYAGGCCAAAGACACAGAACTACAACTAGAATTATAATTAATGTAGAGATTCTACTTGTTTCCATCAAGGGATTAGTTGGACTGAAGTCTRAAATCCTCATCATTTGTCATAATTTGCTGAGTGTCAGTTTTGTGCCATTGTCAAAAACCGACCTCAGCSTGTCATGTTAATCCTGTTCTCATTGCTGAAACGTGAAATGTTGCTCCCAAAACAAGGGTCCCCAGAGAAGCTTTCCTTT